ACTGCAGCAAGATTCTCTCAGCTCACATTTTCAACTTTAACCTCTGCCAACAGAGTAGAGCGCACGTGACACATACAATGGCTTTTATTTCAATTAGATGCTTGTTACTAATAATGAACATTTTATGTCTTCTCCTTTCCCTGTTGGGAAGTGGACATGTTAGACCAGCCACTATGCATTGATAGCAAGGTTAGAAACTGCAGGGGGCTGAGTTTGAACGCAAGTGACCAATATGTGGGCGACCCACACTGAATGTCAAGAATCCAGCAGATTTCTCTGCTTCCCACTGAAAAAAATAATAATAATTTTTAAAAAAATTGAAGTGAAAACAAGTTTTTTTTTCAAAACAGAAGTCCTGCAACTTGATTCAAATGAATGCGTGACAGTCTGCAAGAAATATGTGTTTAGTCATAATATAAAAACAATTTTAATGCTAGTCATTGAAAATTCAAGTAAAAAGTAGTAATTAACTACATCAGTTTATTGGGATTCAACAGAATTTAAAATGCAAAAATAGATGAGTCTGAATTCACTTTAAGAAGTTTTATCTCTACATTCAATTTGCACTTAAGAACAACTTTTTTCCTCTTGCTTTTTCTTAACATCATAAAAACTTCCACGCTTTGTTTTCTGCAGAGTATTTCCAACTACTGTTCACTAATTCACGTCTACAACACTGCACTGACATATACCCTTATTTACTAAGATGGAGAAGTCAGTGCACTGCAAATCAGGATGTGACTTTCCAGCACATTAGGCTCCTTAACCAGCTCCTATATAGGCCTTCATAATTTATTAGTAACTTACGGACAGCAAAGTAGTTCAATGCTATTTCCAAATGGAGAAAGCTGCCTTGTACAGACTTGATCTTTAAATGGTGCATATATTAGATTGTAACTTCAGTAAATTAGACATTTCAGTTAACTGAAACTGCCCCTGTTCAGATCAGCCCACAGTTCTCCAGATCACAGACACACCACTTCTGCTCACTGGTTCCTCTATGGCAGTAGAGGTTGAACCTTCCCACCACGATTCCATTAAATGTCGCTGCTGTGTGACAGACAACAGCAGAGGGGCAGTCAGACAGAATGGTGACTGACATGGAAGTACATCTAAAGCAAAGGTGAATGAGGAAAAAATAGCACCCATTGACATTCATCAATGCTTGTAAATGTTTATGTAGACGAAACAGAGGATGTTGACACAGTGATGAGTTTCAGCAGTGCTGACAGTGGGTCACCTCCACTGGTGCAGCTTTTTTCACATGTGGTACGCAGGGTCATCACTGGCAAAAATGCACAGCTAATGGTGGTAACTGTGTTGAAAAATACTGTTTCATAGCTTAGAATCTGCTCTATTTAATAGTGTTACTATGCTCTCTGTGTCTGTCGCAGTTTCCATGGAAAGAAATAAGAGGTATTACTTTCAGTGCTACCTACATATATATGCATGTATGCATATACACTGACAATTCCCTAAAGCCAAATCCAATGCCTACCAGTGGGTTGCTGAGTACAAAAGAAAAAACATACAGCAACAGCACGATAGTAGCTTGTGATTTTCTCATGGAGAAGTAAAGGCACAGCAAAACAGTATGAGTTGAGTGGCCAGTCTCTGAAAAGCCACTGGCAGTCTATTAGGAAGTAAGCAGTCCATATGATGTTTGGTAGACGCACAGAGGTGATCACACTATGCATGCTAAGGCTCACCAGTGGAACAGTGCACTCCCTGTATAGGTAAGGCAGAGTCACTACACCCCTAAGGTAGGAAATGGGTAATGAATGTTGGGAGGTTTTTGCCAACATTTTAACCAGATAATTCAGGTCAGCATCATCACTGGTAACCAAACATCTGGTATTTAGAGCATTGCTTGCTTGCTTGCTTTTTTCCACTTCAACAAGTGGGAACAGTTTTTTGTCACATTATACATTGGCATGGGCTCAATGGTTACCAAACAATGCAGTAGGTGTAGTGAGAGTATGACAGGATTTTTCTGGGTAACAACGTACACCAGTCAGGTCAGTTCAGTACAGCAACTTTATTAGAGAAGTCTATTAAGGTATTAATTCTTTAGCAACATGTATTACACAGTAGTTATCTGCAAAGGTGAATTATTATTCCACAGTAATGTTCATTACATCCCTGGCTTACCTTCCGAGTACCAGAGTCACTCGGTGCCAGGGAAGCTTCCTTAGCAGACATTCTGAGCTCAGGGCTCTGAGCTTCCCAGCCCAGAACCCTATGGCAGGAGCGCTTCAAGGGGCTCAGTGTATCAGCCTGCTCTTACCAGTGCCTGCTGTCTTCAGCCAAGTGCTTTACAACATTACACACACAGTTTTACATCTGCTAAAACCGTATCTTGTGCAAAAGTGAAAGCAGTTTTCACCACATACATCACAATACCAACTAAACACTGACTATAGCTACAACACAGTGAAACCTCTGGCAGCTTTGTAGCCACAGGATGTCTTGTCTCTCCACATTAGGTCTGCTGGAGAAAAAGAAATTTAAGCAGCTCAATGAGACACAAACTGTCTTACAGTGTAGCTAAGGGAGGGATGCCAAGCAGTTTAAAATCAACCTTTGAAACCCTGACATTTGCCAATGGATACGATCGTATTTAAAAGGCTTTTCAGCTTGCATAAAGTGAAATGTGATGAAGGGCTGAGACACCCAAGCCTTAGAGCCAGAAGTTGTTCTAAATCCTCTAGATTTAACCCATTCCTTTGTAAAGCTCTGGACAGAAGACCTTGGTCATGACAAACCACTTCTCCTCATCAGTTGTGGCACTGAAAAAAAAGACTCTGGCCCTGTGACTTTTGCTTTAATACACCTCTGTTTTTCAATACTCAATACATTTTTTTCCATTAAGAAGAACCAAGATTATATATACTCAAGAAGCTGTAATAATGATGGACATAAACACTTGAACCAAGTGAAAATCATTACTTATCACCCTTTGATTTATCCTGTCATTTTCAACAATATCATCAACACAAATCTCCACTGCCAATGCACAAAACAACCATTCATTAGTCCCTCATAAACCCCATTGATGTTAAAATAAGATAACTTGTGTACACAGATAGAAGAATAAGAAGGAGGAAAATGGCCACAATTAAGTTATGTGCTGATGGGATTCCTTAACCATCAATGCTTTACAGGTACTCCCAAAGATCTCACTAGTTAGTGAGAAGACAAAGCAAAAAGAAAGGGAAGAAACTGAGATTTTGGTTTTTCCAAAGCCTGAAGAGGAAGTTTCCTGAATCTGACCACGGGCAGAGAAAACAGTAAAACAAAAGGTACGTATTTCAATGTGCCCCTTTTTAATGTTTTGTGCATTTAATAAACTCTTAAGGAAATACAAATGGTCTCTACAGAAGCAGGCAGCTTGAAATACTTAAAGCAAGGGAAATTAAAGTATATGAAATCTAAACTGTCCAGTAGGCAGTAAAAGTTTAATCAGTATGCTATAAGATTCCTCCAATGTTTGAAAGTGACATTTTTTGGTTGTATAAACGATACTTAAAAGATGCAAGCATTTACTGAATTTCTCAAGAGTCAAGTTTAGCTTCTCTTTTCTAGATGTTCATTAACTGCCAAGAAAATCTGTACTAATTTTAAAGCACAATGAACACACTCATGCAGAACTGCTTTATTTGATGCAAACTTCATTTCTTGCAAGTCTGCATATTCCTTCATCTCATGAAGCAGCATTCAAAGATCCCAGTATCTTTTCCACCAAAGCAGATCTTAAGATACAGAAGAGATCCTATCCTTCTGCCCTGACCAAAATACCAACCCCAGTGTCATATTACCGGAGCCTTAAAGTCACAATTTCTACCATGCTTCACATTACACCTGCTTTAGATGGCAACATACTACATGAAAAATGTGTGCTGACTCATCTCCCTGCTCTGCTGGCAAATTCAAATCACACAACACAACATACGATACACAGAGCAGAAGCCAGTGATTCTGATGTTAAAAGGCAGCATATGCTATAAATGGTGGCAGCTGCTTCTTCCCTCCCTTATGTGGTTTCCAGCTCTATTTACTGTACTTGATGAGCTAGTAACTCACTTAAGAGTTACTAGCTTAATAGAAGGGAATATCCCATCTTCCCACCCCATCCCCCAATTAAATAAATAAATACAGAATGCTCTATACTTTCTCCATGACAGAACAGCCTCAGAAAGCTTCACTGATGCCAAATAACTGAAGGACATGTGCAGTTAGAATCTGCTTCTGCAGCTAGGAGTGGGATTCTGAAGATTGGTCCCTGTTGAAAAATAGGGCTTTGCCATCTCTGGTGTTAGAGGAAGCACAGATTCTTACTCATCCCTGCACAGTAAAGCTGCTCTCATGGATAGCAGTTTCAGAGAGAAACCTGACACAGTCAGCAAGACAAACCTCACAAACACACAATTTCAGATACATTAAGGGTGTTAAAAATCACTCCCCAGAAGTGCTCCCATTACATCCAAAACTCCCGCAGACAAGAATAATTCAGTGCATGAGGAAGTGCACCTATTTCCTCACTGCAACTGTACCTGCTTTTCTAGTTGCAGCAGTGGCGTAAAGCAAACCCAATGGTACTGCTGCAACAGCCTCATACCCTTCATTTCTCCAACAGCTTAGGAAAACAGAACCAGAGCACCTGAACACTCAAACAAGACTACAGTCAACACCCTCAGCCACAACACAGCCCCACCTACATGAACTTTATTCACCAGACAGACTGAAGCACAAAAAAACAGCAAAGGTAACCAAAGGTAACAGGAAAACTGAAGAATTCCTCATGAGAGGAAAAGTATGCAGAAGTTATACATGCTGCTCAGGAGCAAGGTACTGAGACTGAAAAACCTGCAGCAGCAGAGTGCAAGGGGATTGCATTATTACTTATCTCTCATAACAGCACAAGCCAATTGTTTTGGAAGGAAATCAGGTTTCTGGTAGCCTGCTTTGGGCAACATTTGAATAAGAACACTGTTACTGACCTGGAAGGAACAACTGGGATCCCTGTCTCAGTGACCACCAGAAGCCTATCTTTGGTGTTGTCTTGGCAGAGGATATTAATATGAATGCCATTTGAAGGGAGGCACTTTGAGTTACTGCCATTCATGCAACATTACTGCTACGTGCACAGGATCATATTCTGAGCACAACCGCACGTATCTTACCACTAAGAGAATCATCATATTACTTCACAACACTCATTCATTTAAGAAAAGCAAATTACATTTCTTAAATTTATATAATTTTTCCCCCCAGGAGTTTTCTTTCAAATATATTGCTTTATTGGAGATCTTTCCACTGATAGATTGCCATTGACTTACTTCATCCATGAATGCAGGACACTGAACGTCTGGTAGATAAGTGAGAAGACTTTCTCAATGTGGGGTTAAAATTCTTCTGTTTTAAAGCCTCATTCACATTCAGTGTGAAATTGAAACACATGAAACCCCAAGTCATTCTGACCATTTTCCCAAGAGATTCCCAACTTGTGATAAGCAGAGAAGCTCATGGAAATGCTGGTCTTATGGAAGAGCATAGAACTGCAAGCACTTCTTTTCTGACTTAGCAACCAGTTTTTACTCACAAGTCCAAGGTATTCCTCATTTCTTAACCTTGCAAATAATGGCAGATCTGGAGCTTAAGCATGCCACAACTCAGTCAATTACTTTCCTAGCTCCCCCAGATGTCTCACCACAGTATTAGCCATAAGTCTCTCATCTTCCCAATTTCCATAAATATACACACAACTTCTGTCTTCCATTACATAATGATCTTCCTGCTGATGCAGGTACACAGACTTCCGATACACTTATGAAGTGGGATTAACTCCTCCCTTCCCAGGACCACGGGGATCAGCAGTCTTGTCACAGCGCATCACTGTACTGCCCTGCCTACCTTATTGCAGTGCCTGGAAAGAAAAAGAAGCGCCAGTCTTCAAAGATAATTTATTTCAACAAACATCCTGTAACGCAATGCTTTTACAGTAATTGTTGCAAGCACTACACCTTATTCAAACATTCAGATACATCTCCAGCCGCACTCAGAGGAAGGAGAGAGATGCAACAGGCACTCCCTACCCATCCGCACGAAGCTGCTGCCCCGCCGGAGTTCAAATCCCACTGCCCGCCGGGCTGCAGCCGGCCCAGCGGCCCACCCTGCCCCGGGACCCCCTTTAACCCCGGGGAAAGGGGTTAAAACCCCGATGGGGGCACGGAGCGAGCGAGGCGCTGCTCGGCTTCCCCCGGCAGGCGCCGCGCCCGAGCCCGCAGCCCCACTGGAGCGGGGGAGAAAGAGGAGAGAGAGGGCGGCTCTGGCACCGCAGCGTTTACCCTCCATCTCGCCTTCGTGGTGGAGCCGCCGCCTCTGCTCGCGCGGATCGGAGATGAGGGAAGGCACTACCGACTAGTCGAGCTGTCCTGTGCCGCGTTGCGATCGAGACCGAGCCTTCGCCCCGCACGCCCTCAGACGCCCAGCCCTGCCCGTCAGACCTCGCCGCTCCCCCCCGAGCCGCCTATTAATACCCTCGGCGCCTCAGGCCCGCCGCCAGCCGCCGCCTCCTCCGGGTGGGGGAAAATGGCGGTGGGGCAGCAGCCCGCAGCAGTGGCTTTGGCGCCAGGCACCTGTTGCCCACTAGGGAGCTGAGCGGTGGCAGAGGCTGTGCTGGTGCTCATGGGGAGCTTTGCTATGTTCATTTATTCTTTTTTTTATTTATTTTTTAAATCAAATGTAGAGCTAGACTATAGAATCATTGAGGTTGGAAAAGACCACTGAGATCACCAGGTCCAACCATCAACCCACCTGCTAACCACATCCCTTAGTGTCACATCCACACGGTTCTTGAACACCTCCAGGGACAGTGACATCATCACTCTTTTGGAGAAGAAACACTTCTTAATATCCAACCTGAACCTCCCCTGGCACAAATTCCATACTAGAATCAGCATGAGAAGCATTTCAATTCGATTTTAGGAATCGCAGTGCAATTAAAACATTGCAATCAGGCTTAGGCCTTGGTGAGGTGGCAGCTCACATTAGAGAGGCTGCAGCAGGTTAAGGAAGGAGTCTAACATCCTTTCTTCCTGAAGGAAGGTGACTGCTGCTGCTTGTGTGTGGCCTCAAAAGCAGCAGCCTTCAGGCAGGTGAAACAGTGGTGCTCACAGTCAGGACCTGCCAGGCTCCTGGCTTTTCTGCCAAATCTACACAATTGTGCTTATGTGCCTCGGCTTACAGAGCCCCGGTGCGGCATCACCAGCTGTCAAAGGCTACTTCCAGGCCTCTGAGTGAACTGTGGCTGACCTCATTCTCCCAGTTTATTCCAGGACACCAATGCCATTCAGTGCTACACACGTGTTCTTAACTCTAGTCTGTTTATTTTTCATAACTGCTACCTTAAGAAAAAAATAAAATTCTTTTTTACCACGTGTTAGTGCTGTTCCTACAGCAAAGTCTGAAAGTGCCCCAAAATTAACTACTGGAGGCCCCCCACAGCTCATTTTCCATTACAATTCAGGCCTGATTAAAGTTTGGCAAAGATTTTTGGAAGCTACTGAAATATTCAGGTGTGAATTAAACATTTATTTACATATAGTATCCTCATTTTCCTTGTTTGTGAGGATACCAATTGTCTAGCTTCAACTGCAGCATGCACCAAGTCATTAATAACTACAACAAGGTAATTTTGTAGTCCTATAGATATCCTTCACTGCAAGAGATAAGTATTCTGACTTCACTGTGATAGATAAAAATGGTAGATATCACTAAATTAAAAATTAGTAGTTGCCTGGGAACAAGTGTTCATGGCCTGATTGTACTCACTGTGGGGAAATGAAGAACAGCCCCAATCAAAACTATGCATTTCTTCTGCTTCAGAAGAGCTAATTTCCTCAAGCTGAGGAAAGTAGTGAGGGAAAGAAAACAGACAGGAGGAAAATAGAAAAAAAAAAACAGAACATTGAAAGAGGGCTTTCTTAAAAGCCTTTAATAAATGGCCAAAAGACTGTGATTCTTCAATCACAAAACGTAGCACCTTTCTCTTAAAAACCCAAAGGTGGCATTCAGGAATAAAATGGAAAACAAAGATAAATTATATAAATAACACTTAATACGAATTACAAGTTACTATATCAAAAATTGATAAGGGGAGTTATCAGGCAAGGTGAATCGATAGCTGAAACAGCTAAGTACATTTTAAGTGTGTTAGAAATAACACAGAGCCCAATAGAAATAATAGAGCCCAACGTGATATCGGCCCATCAGTAAGTATAGCTTCAGAATGGTTTGTGCTGATGCAGGAATTGTAAATATGTTTAGTAAATACTTCACTACTACAACAAACAAGTAGTCAGTCTCATAGGGACTATGAAGAACTGCTCTAGCCTGCTAGTAATTTAGAAAGATAGAAACCATGACCATTCCCTTACCACCAGCCTCAGATAGCTTTTGGTCCCCCTTTCAGGACAGGTACTTGGGCTTTCATCTGCTGATGTTGTAATAGACTTTAGAATACTTTTGAAATTGCAAATGGGTGCTAGTGTCAGAAAAATGACAAAGACGTTGACAGCAAAAGGTAGGTCAGCATCAATAGTTGATGTGAATAACAGATTTAATTCAAAAAGATCGCCAAGAAAGGAATAGAAATAATTCCAGTCTTTTTTATGAAGACTGGGTCTCATTGAACTTCTCTAAATTTATTCTTTGGTGAAACTGCTCATTTGGCTAAGTGCATATTGATGTTTTTAGACTTTAATGATAGTCTGAAAGAAAGACGTAGTACCCCATGATATCATTAAAGCACATGCTAAATTGACTAAGATTTGTCTAAATGACTGATAACAAAATGTAGCTGACAGCGTACAACCTTCAAACAGCTCTGTTTCTGAGAAAAGGCGATCACATCAGAAAATGGCACTAAGATGACAGAAACTGCAAGGGTAATAAATGGCGAACTGGGTCTTATCCAACAAAATACATCTAGGGTAAGCAAATCCCTATAATGAGTATGAAGGATTGTAGGCGCTGCGTAGTCAAGGGAGACTACACTTACTGAAATTTATTTAGGAGTTGTAGTCACCAACTCATTGTAAATCCTCACTGACAGCGTTTCAAGAAGGATTTAACTGCATCAGGGGAGCGGGAAGCAGGGAGGTAGTTTTATCTCTGGATATATCACTGAAGAGACCAATCTTGTATACTGTGTTCTTGTCCATGTCTTGAAAAATTACTTAAAAATTGGTGAGGGGGCAGATTAAGAGCTGAAAATGTGATCTAAGAATTGAAGAAAAATGCTGCTAAGTGACACTTAAACAGCTCAATCTGTTTATCCTATCAAAAAGATTGACTTGATTACAGTGTATAAGTACCTCTATCGAGAAAAAATATGAATTCTGAAGAGCTCTTTAATCTAGCAGAGAATAACATAACAAGAAGCTGTGATAGAAGCTGAAGTCAGACAAATTCAAATGAAGCACTCTGTTTCTCTTCTTAAATTGACAGTATGTCACTGGAACAAGCTCATGAGGGCAATAAGAAATTTTTAATGTTTTTGTATCTTCCAACCTGGAAAATTACTTTTCTGAAAGACAGGTTTTTGCCAAGTGTAGGTTACCAACCTCAGAGCTTTTACATGTGAGATTTAACGACATAGGAGGAAGAGGAGATCAGACCATACGACTAGAAAGTTCTTTGCAGTCTTACTTGATTATTCCTTCCTCTACTAAGCAAATATAAAAAAGGGTAGCTGTTGGTGAGCATTTGCTCAAGATTATATTCTTAACTGACTGCAATCAGTCTGTGAAAAAGATGACTTTTCCGAGCGTGTAGGATTTTAAATGATCACAGAACATGAGGCATTCTTGGCAAGCAGAGTATGAAGTATCAAAAGACAACTGACATTAGTCACCTATTTTCATTTGTCAGTGCACTAAGCTGACTATGTTTCAATTCATGTAGGTCACAAAGGAGCTCAGAAGAGTTTAAGGAGAATCTGAACAGAAATACAGAAGCATAAATCTACTAAAAACACAGGCCATCAGATTTAAATGATGTGCAATTAAACAGCAAGCTTTGAAACTCTGGCAAACCAGATAACTAATTCTATATGCAATATTACACTAGTAAATATACATCAGTTTTAAAAATTTATGTTTCTTGCCCACCTTGTGCATAAATGAATCAAGTTACCTCACCTGAAGCATAATGAGCTGTGGAATGCAATGAAGACTAAAAGGTTTGACACCAACAAGTAATACCAAGCTCTCTGAAAGCAGCCACGACCACACAACTGAATTGTGTTGCACATAAACTATTGAGAACTACATTTAAACATTAATGAATTAAATTGTTGTATTTGCTAGGAACTTGCATCTTCTATTTTCTACTCACAAAGTTGATATGGCAACATTAACCTTAAAGCCCTTTCTATTCTTGACCCCCTTCTTGAAATTTGTTACGTGAAGACAGCTTTTTTCATCAAGTGTACAACCTCCAGTAAACTACACAGAAAACCATTGGCCTCAAACAAGTTTTTCAAACAAGAAAACAATATTAACCAAAAAGGACTCAAATGTATTTGCCTAATTTGGTAGGCAAACCTTAACACCTATTGATAGTTCTGAACTTAGTTAGAAAAATCCCAGGCCCTTTAGAAGGTGTTACAGATAGAAGCTTCCAAAATCACGAGATACTTCTGCAAAGCTAACCTGAAAGCCCCATGAAGCAGCATCTTTGCTCTTTGTATTTTCCCCAGAACAGACCGTGGACAACATTTTTAGAAATACATAGTATTCCCAACTCTAAATGCGGGTAAACAAAACCCACAGAATTACTGCTGTCCCAAAAATCAGATCCTAGGGCATTAAAAATTGAAGTGTCATGGTTACCTCTGTTGGTATCAGTATCACCTATGGAACTCAAACATTAGTAGTCTGGTACAGGTAACTGAGACAGGGAGGAAAAAGCATTAAGAGGTTGAAGGGCATTCATTACCTTTTTGATGCCCAGAGGCATAATGTTGCTCTTCTACTGGAGGCCAACCAAAGGTGAAGGTTGATCATTCTATACAGTGAAGTGAAGAACCAGTTAGACTCTCAAGTTTCCACATGTGATGCCTTCAAAGGAACAACATTACGTTAGCTGGCTGGCAAAACACATTGTTCGAAACATCAAGGCTTGAAAAAACACCACATCAATAGGTGAATCTCTGACCCTAAAGGCATCAACAAGGACAACAAAGTCAGCAATAGGAATATTGAACTCAAGCAGCAAAATATGGCTACAGGACACTTTCCAGAGATATTGGGAGATATTATTCAGTGTATCGGAGGTGACCAGATGTAATTCTCTTGAGACACACACATATTCTGGATGTAGCATCTTCAGAGATCCAGAGATCATACATGCTATGAAGAGTTCAGGTGGAAGAAAGCACGGGGAACTTGAAAGGATGTCTCACCATCCTACCACAGACCTGAGTTGGACTGCA